CTCTCTGTCTCTCTCTCTCTCTCTCTCTCTCTCAAGAATAAATAAATAAACATTAAAAAAAACCCTAGAGTTTCTGAATAGCTGAGCTGGCCTGGGGAGATTGGAAGGACTCCACCCAGATGTCGAGGGTCCTCTGGTACCAGTCACATTACTCCCTGTTCCCTGAGGCTTCCTTTGTCACTGTCACCACTCTCTAGGCTCTGAGCCTCTCTGGGTACCACACTTAACTCCAAGCTCCCTGAGGGCAGGGACTGGGTCTCTGGCACCCAGCATGGGGCCTGGCCCTTAGAAGGGGCTCTGTCACAGTAATGAACCAAAGTTGAAGCATGCTCAGAAGCAACCTCCACCCGCAGCAGAAACGGGACCTCCCTGCAGGCCTCCCTCTGCTTCCCAGATGGATGCATACCAGGTGCAGCAGTGACCCTACCTTTGAGTTTTCCGCAGGCTGGGGCAGGAGAAAGGCCCAAGGCTTGGAGGTGCTCCCTCCACCCCTGCACTTCCGACTCTGCCCCCAGAGGCACTTAGTTACTTACATCAATTCCCTATTACTTTAGCCAACAGCCGAGAGATCAATTAACTTGGAGTAGCCTCTTAGCTGGGAGAGGGGTGGAGTCAAGAATGGCAGGGGAGGAAGAAAGGACCGGGAGAGGAGGTGAGAGAGGAAACTACGTTATCCAAAGGATGTTTGTGAGAGAGAGACGGAAAGAGAGGGAGAAACCCCAACCAGGGTCCCCGGGATTCTTGCACCTGGCTCTACTCCCGTCTCCTCCCTCCAACCTCAGGCACTTCTGAGGGAGGGAGGGAGAGAAGGATAAGGCTGGAAGGAATGCCCTCCTCCAAAGTTAACTTCCCAGCTCCAGCCTCTCCGGTCCCTCTGCAATCTGTGCATGCTCCCCGTTAACCGCCCCCCCCCCAACAAAAACCACTGGGCGTTTGCCCCCGGGCAGGGTTGCTCAGGACCCTGCTCTCTATGTAGCAGTCTGGGCAGCTTTTCCCCTCAGCAGCCTCCGTTCCCTGATAGCTGGAGGGAACAGACTCAGTGAGGTCTGAGCTGGTCTGAGCTGCTATGCGGTGGGAGGGGGATGAGGCAAGCCAGGGTGTGTGGGTGTGAGGGGTGTCAGTGAAGGGGCAGAGCCAAGTCGGGGATAAGGATGCTCCCATGCTAGCCCCGGCTCTCTCTGGGACCTGCACCCCGGCTCAGCTTGCTATAAGATGGCTGCTCCCTCCCCTCTCCAGGTCCCAGGATCACCCACCTACACCCACTTCTTATATCTGCTTCTTACCCCTCTAGGTGATCCAGAAGAGTCCTGTCCCCTTCCAGAATCTTAGGGGGATTTCTGTGCCTCTGGGTCCTGGCGGGGGGGGGGACTCCTGTAGGCACCTCAATCCCTTATCCCCCAATTCCACCCCCACCTGAGAGAGAATACTATCTCCACTGCATACCCACCCCAAGGATTTCCATTTTCTGCCCTCCCCTTCCTTCTCTTCCGGGTCCAGAAATGAATTCCCCACTCTCTCTCCCCCAAGGCAAAGGCTCTGGGTCTCAGCTGGAGGAGGGGGGTGGCATAGGGCTGACTGGGCAGCCATCTGCCAGCCCCCTCCCCTGGTGCTGTTCAGCATTCCAGCCACACAGGCGCTCCCACTGCCAGGGACAGATAAGGTGCAGCTGGAGGCTGGCACCAGCTGCGACTGTGCTCACTCCCTCCGGCCCCCACCCAGACACTGGCAGACAGCTGCGCCCCTGGTCCCCCTCCACGGAACCCCTGCCCTGCCGTGGCCTGGCTGGCCTCGAGCTGGGGTGGGAGAGAGCGGAGCCCCAGACCCTGTTGCCCTGGCAACGAAGCACCCCGCCTCAAAGGAAAAGAAGTGGACAGGGAAGACAGGGTCCTTGAGAGTGGGTCTCTGGTTGCTCTTATGGTAGCTCAGGAGAGAGCCGCTAATGTCTGCCCTCTGCCCTCTGCCTCTTCAGTCCCAAAGAGTTTCCAAATCAGTTTCTCCCAGATTTAGCCCAGGTTCCCCAAATGTATTCCTACTCTCCAAAGCCGACTCAGTTACGGCTGGGGGATGGACCCAGTCAAACACTCTGTGACCACCAGTCCATCCCCTACGGTTGAGCTGGATTCAGAAGCACGTCTGGGGGAAACACATCACTGCAGACCCCTGCTAGAGAAGCTGGGGTCTTTGAGGGACCAGAATATGCCCTTCCTATGCCCCCTGAACTGTCCCCCGTGAGCAAGGTTCTCACTGTTGGATAAGCTTTGCCCTTGGAAACCAGGAGAGGAATTCACATGTACCTCTGCACGCTATATTTTGCAAAAACTGTGAGCCAGGGCTTGGATTTCTAGTTAGAACCTCTGTTTCAAGGCAGCAGAAGATGCCAGGACAGTCTCTCCGGAGCTCTGACCCAATAGGCAAATGCTTTCCGTCAGTGCCCTGTCTGTCCAGGGGCTAAGTACATACCTCTTGGCCTAGCAGAGAATGGCAAGGATGGAGAGGCAGATGTTAACTATTAGACTAAAGAAGAAGAGAGAGAAGGTGGAGCATCCGGCAAGGAGTGTCTGTGCCCCTTAGTACCAGGGAGCTGGAGGAGAGGGCCTGAGCCCTTCCTTTCCACTGGGGAGATGTCAGACATGGATTCACAACCAAACTCCCATGTGTGTAGTAACATCCCTATTGGCGGAAGTGGTATAGTTCCTGACATGGAAAGAGGCGGGCAGGGAGATCTATGAGAGAGGGTGGAAGGAGGGGTTGAGAGGTTTGGGTGCAGCCAGATTCAGGGTCAGGTCTTTGACATGAGCTCAGAAACATCCAAAACCTAGTCTTCCCTGGCGACCCAGAACCAAGAGGTGCCAGTGCTGGGTCTGCAGGTTACTAGTTCTTGTGTCTCCCCTTACCCCAACCCCAAGCAAGAGGAAGAACTCAGATTGTTCCAGAGCTTTGTGAACCAGTCATATGTCCATCTGTCTACTTAGAATTGTTCCCTCAGATAACACGGACCGATCACAATTCAGTATCTCCAATTTCACGAACCGAACGTGTCTCGGCATCACCACTTGGAATCTTTCTGGGCATGAGGGACAAATGGAGCCTCAACTGAACACTTTCTATGGACTAATTAAACCCCCACTTTACACCTTCTCGGGTTGAGCCAAGTATTCTGCCCACCGTCCAGAATTACAAGCCATTCAAGCTAATGGGTTTTCTCTTTCTTGCTGGTCCCTTCTGCCTGTACACCGGGTAAGTTACAGAGGAAGGCTCTGCCTTACTTCTACCTTCGCTTGCTTCTACCACTCATGGCTATACAGTTGGTGAGCCCAGGAACCCTTTGGTCTCAGGCTCTGGAGAATCCAGGACTTTTCTGTTTTGAGGAAGGAAAGAGGGAAGTGGTTAACGTGCCATTCTAGGCTCCCCATCAGCTTGGCTCGGCAAGGAGTGTAGTCTTGAAACCTTTGTCCGGCAGGATTGACAAAGGCACCTGAAGCTGGTTGGCAGAGCAGGGCATAAGGAAATTGGGAATCCTTGTGTAACCTCAGCAGGAGAAAACAAGCATGGCCTCAGCTCCAACATTTCTACACAAGCAAATGCAGTTCATGCTCCCATAATGCTGGGAGGAAGCAGGCAAGGAGGGGGGGAAACGGGCAGGAAGGAAAGGGAATATCTGAGAGCGGAGAATTGGGGGCAGGCATGGATAGCAAGGGGGTCCTAGGGGAGGCTGGGTTTTCAAAGAGCAATGATCAGGATTGGAAATGGATACAGTGACTACAGGGCCAACAATATTAACAAAGAGCACACTTCATTGGAACTTAATGAGACATGAGTTCTAATCCTGAATCTGTCACTAACCAACCACGTGAACTCAGGCAACTCATTCTACCTCTCTGTGCCTCAGTTTGTGCATTTGTAAAATAGAGATAATGTGGCTGTTTATCCAGGGGATTGAAGGACAGCCTACAAAGCATTCTGAAGGGTTATAAGCATCGTTCTCTCATCTGGTGTTATTTTTCACACATGGCTCCAGGTCCTCTGGGCCCTTTCCAGCCTGTCTGGTTGTAACCGCTCAGGAATCTATAGGACTTGCCCAGGATCACCTGGCACGTGAGATGCAAGTCAGTTCCCCTAACCCTCCTTGGGATGCTGGCTTTGAGGCAGCCCCATCTGTGGGGAGTGGTGTGTGTGTGTCTGTGGGGGCATCTCCATTGTAAGGAGCAAAGGGATGAAAAAAAAAAGCAAAGGGAACTTCCAGTTCAGCCATGACTGTGTACCCCAAATAATTTCTCCTTCCTCAGACCCTGGCTCTGTGGGTCTTGCTGGCAAAGGGGGAACCCAATCGGACAGTATGTGCATGTGTATGTGTGTGTGTGCATGTGCGTGCATGTGCGTGTGCGTGTGTGTGTGTGTGTGTGTGTATGTGGACAGGGGTGGCACAGAGAGAATTACCTGTCTGGCTATTTAAGAGAAAGCTTCCCTTCCCAGTTTTTTCAGTGCTTCCCAAACTTAAGTCCAAATCACCTGCTAAAATGCAAATTCTGATTCAGTTGGTCAGGGGAAGTGGAGTAGCTAAGTCCTGCAGTTCTTTCAAGCTCCCAGGTGATAGTCCTCAGACTTCATTTCAATAATAAGGCATACCCACCACCATGTCCAGCGCTGACACCTGCAGCCCACACAGTAAGCTGTGAGGTCAAAGCCATGCCAGGGCATGTGTGTGTGTGTGTGTGTGTGTGTGTGTGTGTGTGTGTGTGTGAGTGCGTGTGTCAGCCTGATGTGTGTTATGAACTGTGGGCCCTCTTTCCTGCCATCGTGGACACAAGGCTGATGCTCAGGCCCTTACACAGAGCACACGTGCCCCTGTGCTGAACTAAGTCCCGTCCGGACAGAAGCAAACCCCAGGGACCCACAGCTTCCTCTCCCAGAGTAGCAAGCTTGATGAGAGGCCCTTGGCTCCTAACCTCCTCCTCTGGGGGCAGGGCTGACTCATGCCCCACACCAGGGGACTCACTCACCACCTTGAAGTCTTCAGCGCTGCAGACCTCCCCCCGGAAGTGACAGGAGAGCAGCATGTCTCGAATGTCGTGCCCTGCCCGGTCATAGAATTCCCGCATGTTGAAGGGCTTGGGCTTGAAGCTGCGGAAGTTGGCCTTGTCCTGCAGTATCTCCAGCTGCTTTTCATCTGCCATCTGTGTGTCCGGTATCTCATACCTGAAGCCCAGGGGTGAGCAGTGCATGGATCAGCATGACTGGGCCTCCAGTGTCCCATACCCAACCTCGGTGGGGGGGGGGGGGGGGGGGGGGCAGGGAGGGAGGAGGGTAGCAATCAGCCCTGGGAAGCAGGCCTGGGCATAGGCACAGGAGAGCTGGGTGTGTCCAGAGGACCTGAACCCCGGGGTCTGAGAAGACAGTAGGATCTGCCGTGGCCACGTGGGTAAGGGAGAGGTGGGCAGAGACATCAAGGCAGGAACTATCTTTATACTACAGTCCCTACCCTTTAAAGATAGAGGAGAAGATCAAGACGCAGCAGCAGGAGGGTGGCAGAGGTCATTCCAGAGAAGGTGCTAATGTCTCATAGCTCAGGCTGGGCAGGGGCAGAGCTGTTTGGGACTATGCTGGGATCAGAGGTTGGGCTCCCTCAACAGCGTGCTCAGCAGTACCCCAATTCCTTTGCTGTGAGTGGCAGGCTTGGGGGGCCTAGAGGGCAGGGTTGTCCGGGCTTTACAGCAGGTTTGGAGAGGCGAGCCCCCTGATAGGGGTATCCGGGAGCTGGGATGCATGCAACTCCAAGGAGCCCGGCTAGCAGATGGGTGGGAGCCGCCCACCTGTTGTTGAGCAGGGCCAGCAGCTCCCCAGCGTGGTACAGGTCATTCTTGGAGACTTGGCTGAAGCGGAACTCGTTGAGATTGCACAGCGTGACGGCGGGGAAGGTGAGCTGGGAGGCAGCCACCTCATCGAGCTTGGTGACGTGGTGGTAGTGGAAGTAGTACTGCACTCGCTCGGTGCACACACACAGCAGCACAGCCAGCGAGCCCAGGAAGCACAGGGCCCAGAGCGCCCGCTTCAGAGACAGCCGTTCGTAGGAGAAGATGTGGGCCAGGCCGTGCAGCGTGGAGCTGCTGGCGAAGGCCTGGATGCTCACCGGCTGGACGCCACCCACCTCTTCCTCCTCGGCCTTCAGTTCCATCCTGGCCGAGGGGGTCCTGGGGAAGGGGGGGTGGGGAGGCTGTTATTGTCCTGAGATGAGAGTACACCTGGGGGGCCCTGCACGTGTGCCCATTCGGAATCCCCGACACCAGAGGTCACTGCCCCTGGGGCAGGAGACTTCCCTCTGTGTGTGAGCCCAGAGGTGGCCGGCCAAGGGACACACTCGTAGAAGAGGGTTCCTCCAAATGCGGGGGCACAGGGGTCAGCTCAGGCCAAGAGAATGCCCTCCCAGGAAAGCTTCCCAGGCCAGGGGAGACCCCAGATATAGTCACTGGAGGGTGAGAGGGAAGTCCCAATATTTCCACAGGCAGGCACAGGAGTTCCCTCCAGATGTGGGGTCACTCTGGGACAGGAATGTCCACCCCATCCTAGAGACGAAAACTCCCCCAGATGGACAGAACCCAGGGTCAGGAGCTCCTGGCCAAGGGTGTCCCCAGGACTGAGCTTTCATCTGGCTGAGCTAAACCTGGGCTAACCACCCCCC